TCCCACAGAGTCCGAGGCCAGCTGCCGTGGTCCCACAGAGTCCGAGGCCAGCTGCCGTGGTCCCACAGAGTCCGAGGCCAGCTGCCGTGCTCCCACAGAGTCCGAGGCCAGCTGCCGTGGTCCCACAGAGCCCCAGGCCAGCTGCCGTGGTCCCACAGAGTCCCAGACCAGCTGCCCCAGCAGCTCCCCAGACCTCCACGTCGCCTGCCCCAGCAGCTCCCCAGGCCTCCACGTCGCCTGCCCCAGCAGCTCCCCAGGCCTCCACATCGCCTGCCCCAGCAGCTCCCCAGGCCTCCACGTCACCTGCCCCAGCAGCTCCCCAGGCCTCCACATCGCTCCCTCAGACCCCCTTGCCAGGTCCAAAGTCCTCCATGTTGGCAGCAGCACCCTTCCATCTCTCCAAGTCTCCGGAGGGGCCGGCGCTCTCCACGTCTCCGGAGGGGCCGGCGCTCTCCACGTCTCCAGAGGGGCCGGCGCTCTCCCCTACCATAGAAGATTTGCCGCCTACCGCAAAGGCTCCTCCATCTACCACAAAGGTTCCGCCACCTACCACAAAGGCTCCGCCACCTACCACAAAGGCTCTACAACCACCCATGTCGGCTTCAGCAGCTCCACAGCCCTCCATGTCTGCTGCAGCTGACCCACAGCCCTCCATGTCTGCTGCAGCTGACCCAAAGCCCTCCATGTCGGCCGAGACGGCCTCCAGGACCCCCATGTCGGCCGAAGCGGCCTCCAGGACCCCCATGTCGGCTGAAACGGCCTCCAGGACCCCCATGTCGGCTGCAACGGCCTCCAGGACCCCCATGTCGGCTGCAACGGTTCCCAGGACATCCATGTGGGCTGCAGCTCTGATCCTCCTGCCTGGTGCAGTACTGGTCCTGGTCTTACCTTTGATCTGGCCCCAGCAAGGCTTACACGGCCATCTGACCTGGACTTTGCCACTTTTTGGTCAGTGGCCAGGTCGTCCACCAGAGTTTTGGGGCTTCTCTGGAGGTCCCTTCGGACCTCCAACCTGCCTTTTTGCCCACCTCCAGCCCCTCCACCCGCCCGGTCCTTGTTAGTTCTTTCTCTTTGGTGGTCCGTCAGGATGCCGGACCTTTAAGGGGGGGCTATGTCATGCTCAGCGGCCCCCACTGCCCCCCCCCATCTGCCTAAGCCTCTGCTCCTCATATCACAGCCCCTGTTTTAAGATCATTCACGTTTTTCCTTCCTCAGTTTCTGTTTATTTCATCCTGTTTGGTCCTGCACTGCCTATCACCCATTTTCTGCTCCTGTCACTCTCTCTCAACAATCTGCACTCATCTGCTGCACCCTGTCTCTGCAATCACCACTCACCTGCCACACCTGTTCAGCTCACTACTTAAGCTCCACTCTCACTCTCCTCAGTGCCAGATTATTGAAAGCCTCACAGCCAATAAATTATCCAGCATTCGCTTGTTCCTAGTTTCTTCGTTTTTGACCACAGCTTCCCTCTTGATTCCTCGCTTTGACTTTGCCCCTGTCTGGATACCACGCTCTCGGCCTACATGGTACAACCTCGCTCTCCTCTTCGACCACGACTACGGATCATCCTTTTGCCTGTTCTCACAGCTCCTGGCTCTCGACCCCTGCTACGTCCCTGGATTCTGTTTCCTGCCCAGCCCTCCAACGTTCTCTGTCTCAGCCCTGCTCCTGCCACAGAAGGTTAGTGACGTGCACACTACCTCTCTCAGTTCCCAGAACCTTTTTGCAGTCACTAACCTGTCTGTCTTCATAGATTGGACCAGAACTGAGGCTCAGATCCTTCCCAGATGAACGCCTTTAAAAAAAATAAAACCTTTTATTTTAATATTGTCCTGAGTGAGGTGTTGTGCTGATCCATACAGACTCGTTACAGATTACGGCATACAGCTCATGAAAACCCAAAATGCCTGTTCCAAAAAATTAGCATATCATGAAAAGGTTCTCTAAACAAGCTATTAACCTAACCATCTGAATCAACGACGTAACTCTAAACACCTGCAAAAGATTCCTGAGGCTCTTAAAAACTGCCAGCCTTGTTCATTACTCAAAACCGCAATCATGGGTAAGACTGCCGACCTGACTGCTGTCCAGAAGGCCATCATTGACACCCTCAAGCAAGAGGGTAAGACACAGAAAGAAATTGCTGAACGAATAGGCTGTTCCCAGAGTGCTGTATCAAGGCACCTCAGTGGGAAGTCTGTGGGAAGGGAAAAGTGTGGCAGAAAACGCTGCACAACGAGAAGAGGTGACCGGACCCTGAGGAGGATTGTGGAGAAGGGCCGATTCCAGACCTTGGGGGACCTGCGGAAGCAGTGGACTGAGTCTGGAGTAGAAACATCCAGAGCCACCGTGCACAGG